CCCTACCCTTTGCGCATGCGCGAACTCCTACCACTACACCCCGAGCCTTGCACATGCGCAGAACCAGGGTTGTTCGCCGCTCTGCCTTCGATGCCTTCTGACTTCGCTTGGTCACAACGAACCTTGCCGGTTTTCTCGCGCGTGCGTGCAGTGCTTTTCGCCTGGCCGCCGAGGTGGAGTGACGGTAGAGACTCTGAGCCCGAAGGTCCGGAGATATGTGTCAGTTGACAGGCATTTAGCCTGTTATTTGAAGTAGACAAGTAACGGTCCAGCTTAGGCTAAAAGAAGAACGTGTTACATCTAGTGTCTAAACTTCAAACAACGAAATATATTTCTGAGACCTTGTGTAGAGACACACATGTCCTTCAAACAGCCCCACCAGTATATAGAGCTCTTGCCGTACGCCAACTCTTTACGGGCGCTATCAAACTTAAGGCTCAGGACTACTTTACGAGAAAGGAACTAGAATTATTCTCGGTTTGGAAACCAGGAAGCCAAGCTTCAGAGATATGCAGTAATTTGTCTAAGTCAGCACAGGTAACGAGCACGTAGATGAGCCCGTATCTGTCAGATTTTGGAGCCAGGGCTATTTTCTCCCACGCAGTACGGTCCAAACTGGGAACACACAACAGGAGTGGCTTCTCCTCCCTTCGCCGAAATCCGCGCGCGCGTATTTGCCTAGAGTTAATGGTTACTTGAATTTACTGGAGCGCTTCTTTCTGGTCTTAGGCTGTCTGCTGCCAAGGCGTTTTCATCGGATCCAGTTTTTCTTACCGTCTTACTAGTCCTTAAGCTTTCTACTCGGTGTTGAAGATAGGAGTGGGCAGTATTCAGGTGTTAGGGTGATTTTTTTTTCTTTGGTTTTCTCTTTTCAAATGGGGAGGTAAGTGAACTGAATCCAGCAAAGATGTATTCCTGGAGAATTGCTTCCTTTATTCCGGTTGTTGATACAAAACAAATTGTGATGAACCGTAATTGTTTTGAGTATAGAAAGATACAGCACATCACTGTGAAAGTTAAATAAGACAACAGATATGAAAGTACTCAAAGTACCAAGAAGTAAGGAAATAGGAGAAGGCTAGAATAGTTTTCATTATTGAGGTACAGTTGGGAAAGAAATGGATTTCAGCAGTTTGAGATCATCAAGAAGTAACAGCAGAGTAGTGTATTTGTTTACGTCTCTGTGATACTTTTCTGCACTGCCTAGATGGCTGGACTCTGAAATCACACTGCTTGGGTTTGAATCCCAGCGCTGGTACTTACTGGCTGTATGTGACCTTACATGATTTACTTTATCTGGCTTTTTATAAAAGGGGTAATTATTAGTACCACATTGGGTAGTTGTAAGATATAAATAAGCTAATACATTAAGGGCATTTCAAAAGTAAATTTTAGATATTGTTTTAAGTCAATCATTAACACTGATTTTTATTTTTTTTAATTCCCAGAGTGTGTGTGTGCTAGCCAGAGAGAGAGAGAGAAAAAGCCCCCCCCCCCCATGGGGCTCGGTAACACCACAGTCCTTTATTCTTTCTTCCCGTCAGGATTTTGTACATGCACACACATATTAACCTGGCTTGCTTTCAAACCACCAGCCTGTTTCTGGGGTCTACCATGTGGGATCCAGGTCCCTTAAACACTGTGCTTTTGGGCCAGCCTAACATTTATCTTTTAAAAATGGCTTTAATGGGTGTTTTAAAATTCAAACTATGGAGGAGGGAGAAGCAGGTGATGTGGTTAAGGCACAAGACTCCCACGGGCCGACCATAGTTTGAGTCTCAGACCTGGTAGTGTGCATGTGTGTGCATGCACCTAAAATCCCAAGAGGAGAATGAAGAAGAGACTGTGGCACGGTTATCCCCTCCGGGTAGTAATTTCTCTCTCTCCCTCTTTTTGTCTGTCTGTCTCTGGCAAGTGCACGTGTCCTATGGCAAAAACCTAAAAGCAAACAAGCAAAAACTATAGTCAGTGCCATTCAGGGTTAGCATTTTTGTTCAAGAACCCCTTAAAATGATAAATCTGAAAATAATTTTGCCAAATATGAATAATGATTCCTATCAGATGACTATGGATGTTAATTTACTTTACCATTTTATAAGTGTAATATATAGAAATGGAATAATTTTATTATTTTTTTCTGATTATTAAAGGGAAAAAATACCCAGGGGACTAACAGGTGGCATGCATAATGGTTACATCACTGGACTCTCACGTAGTTAGCTGCAGTTTGAATCCCAGACCAGGCAGCTTAAAACAAGCCAGGCACAAGTTGCATGTCGCATGTGCCCAAAATCCTCAGAGGAGAATGGAGGAGAAGGGATTGCAGCATGGCCATCCCCCCAGAGGGTGATTTCTCACTTTCTGTCTTTCTGGTGCATGCACATGCCCTATAGCAAAAGTCTCTAAAACAAAACAAACAAAAGAAAAACTCAGGCCAGTTAAAAATATATAAAGTAAAAAAACCATCCAAAATTTTGACATACAGAGATAATCATATTACCTTTGTGTTTTAAAAATATAATGTACCTGTGAGGGGAATCAGGCAAAGTTTAGATAAGGGGTATATTGGGGAAACTTATTTGCAAAATTGTACTAGAACATTATGAATAGAAAAATAGCATAACCTGATTTGCACAGTGTAGTTTTTTTGTGTTTTACGTTTTTGTCAGAAGGTGCATGTGCTTGCCAGGGAGAGACAGAGAGGGAAAGTGAGAAATCACTCGCTGGGGGGGTGGCCCCACCACAATCCCTTCTCCAGTCTCCTCTCAGGATTTTCAGCACACATGCACAAGCACTTGAAGTGTGTTTCAAGCCACTAGGTCCAGGACTCAAATTGTGGTCGGCCATGTTTGGGAGTCCAGTGCCTTAACCAACATACCACCTGTTGGCCCCAACACTAGAATTTTTTTTCTATTAATAGTTCCTTTTTACAATAGAGACACAGGTGCTTCTCAACTTTCAGTGGAGTTATGTCTTGGTAAACCCATTGTAAGTTGAAAATATTGTTATCCAAAAATGTGTTTAATATATCTAACCTAGAAAACATGATAGCATAGCTTACCTTAAACTTACATTAGACTTACATTATATTACAATAAACTACTTCTAACACAAAGCCTATTTTATAATAAAATATTGAATATCTCATGTAATTTATTGACTACTGTTCTGAAAGTGAAAAACAATGGCTTGCTGCCTTTGCCTAGCATCAGTAGAGTATTGTACCACATATCACTTGCTTGGAAAGATCAAAATTCAAAGTATGGTTTCTACTGAACATATACTTTTGTGCCATTGTAAAGCTGAAAATCCTAAATCCAACCATTGTCAGTCAGGGACCATCGGTAGTCCATTAAAAGAATTATTAAGTGATAATATTATGAAGTGATGATCTTGTTAAATAACATTTACTAAGTACCTATGTGTCAGACACTGCTAATATGATAAGTTTGAACATATATTTCCCACTTAATCCTCATGGAACTCATAAGGTGAGTATAATTATTATTTCTATTTTACATATACTAAAGTTTATGTGGAGGTCACTTTTAGGACATTTAAGTCCAATTTTGTTTATTTTTAAAAAAACCAATCACTTATTTAATTTAATTAATTTATTTATTATATAATTTGACTACAGAGAGACAGAGAGAAAGTGAGAAAGCAAGCCTCCAGGTCCAAGACTTGAACCATGGTTGGCCACATGGAAATCCAGCGCCTTAACTACCACACCACCTGCCGGCCCCCCAATTTTGTTTGAAATCATAATTAGTAAATTCAAAGTCCTACATTAAATCTTGATTCACTAAAATGGAAGAAAACAAAACAACAGTTCCTATGCCCCAGAAAAATAGTGGGGAAGAAAATTTGAAAACTACAAATTTTATGTTTGACCACAAGGGGGTGCAAATTTCTGAGTTAAATTTCAAAGGGAAAAAAAGTGCTTTTACTTCAGGCCATTAAATTCATGGGTAAGAAAAACAGTAAGAATACCTGCCTGAACCTTTAAATTCCAAAAAGTAATGTCCTTTGTAAGAAGAAATAACTCAACTATTTAGATACTCAATTAGGGTGGAAGTTTTCAGCTTTCTTTATTCAATATAGTAAAGAGTTAATCATCTCTATCCTGACTCCTTTCTACTCTCCCAGTCTGTGTCTGTATTCTCCTTTTGTCATAAGAGTAGCACTAAAGTCATAATTTAAAATTTGTGGTTTTACTTTTGGAAACTGGAATGCAATCACCAGCAAATGAATGGTAAATATGAGTGGTGTGGAGAACAGAAGTAATTTCAATGCTATTTTACCCTACTGCTGTTTCTAATGAGTAAGCTATAACTGATGGGATATTGGCCTCAACATATTGCCTTTTACATAAAACTGTGAAAGCTATAGTTCTGTTCATCTTTCAAGAAAAATGCAGGCTTTTGAAGAAAACATTTTGAACATAACTTAAAAACAGTATATACTAGTGAATGTTTTTTTTTTTTTTTTTGAGAGGTTTTTGCTATAGGGCGCGTGTGCTCACCAGTCAGACAGAGAGAGACAGAGAGACAGAAAGTGAGAAATCACCCCCCAGTGGGGATGGCCACGCTGCAATCCCTTCTCCTCCATTCTCCTCTCGGGATCTTGGGCACGCACGCACATGTGCCCGGTGTGAGTTTTAAGCCACTGGGTCCGGGACTTGAACCGCGGTCAACTACGTGGGAGTCCAGCGACATAGCCATTATGCTAACTGCTGGTCCCCACTAGTGAATGTTTTTAAAACAATTTACATAGCAGAGTTTTTAATTCCTTTTATCTTCTTATTCGTCTTACTTCTCTGAGGTTGACTTAATTTTTTTAAAGAATTTTGTTGTTGTTGTTTAACTTTATTTATTTTAATTTGACCAGAGAAGGACGGGGGCAGGGGTGGGGGAGCGTGAGAAA